CACGCCCACCAACGCGGCACATTAAGCAGCGTTCAGACTTCGCGACGGCAGCGCTTCGGTCGCGCGTTCGATGCAGTCGAAAGCATGCGCATCGATCGTCGAATCGCGCGACCGAAGCGCTGCCGTCGCGAAGTCTGAACGCTGCCTTACGAGCCCTTTCACGTACCTCAGTACAGACCCATTTAGCATTCAAGTACCCTCTACCTCTCGAACAGAACTTGACTTCGCAGGCGCTAGCAGAAGGTAGATGCTTCCAGAAAATGATAAACGATGAGTGGAGCAGAAGCTCCGCTACAGTATTGTTCGCCCTCGAATGAGTGGCCATGTTAAGGGGCGTGGTTTGGCGTGCCGCCAGCTCACTCTGCACCAGTTGTTGAAGCGGGTATGCGACAACAACTGGTGGAGAACGACCGACACAGCGATATGATGACCTTGTCGCTTGCCGCAACAAAGAAAAAAAACGGCTGGCGCTGCAAACCCGTCCTCTCTGACACGCCCCATCATCCGCAGTGGACAACAGTGTACGAACTGTTGCTAGTATTCATAGCTGCGAATATTCTAAACAATCCTACCTGATGCCATTTGATCGACTCCAAACGGCTTGCTGCCAGTGATCAATACATATCATTTGCATGGCACAAGGAAAGGTTTCTCGCTATGTGCAACCAGTAATGGTGACGTCACCCGAGAATCATAGGTTCTTTGCCGAATGCCACCGAACCTACACAGGAAAAATCGCTCTGGTTGAGCATCTCTGCATAAAACCCTGCTCTTATACACGTAGTCCTACGGCCAAAAACCTTTCTAGTTATGTTTTTATCAGTCACAATAATCCTTTATTGACAATCTCTACACAACAGCAACACCCGTGTTACCAACAACAAGCTCAATTTGTAGAAAAAGAGCCAAAGAAAGCCTAACTCAACATAAGCGACGGACGGTAAATCAGCAAATCCGCCTCTGGAAATCTTCAGCGTCTTCCGAGAGTGAAGTGAACAAACGTACAAACAATATTAACAGTAAAGCGAAACAGTACGATAATAACAACCATTAACAAAAAATACAATCAAATAACTTCTGCAATGTACAAAACACATTTCCAATTAGTTCAGGTACCCGGCGAAGATGGTTCTTCATTTCTTTCTAAAAACACACTATATAGCTCAAAACCGTGATCTCCTAAAGGCACAATCAGCGATTGCAAATCGAAGGCAGTAGGGTAAAAAACAAAAGTTGTCACTATTTACCCACTACTGCTCCACTTTTCGGAATCAAGGGTAATCTGTGCAGGCGCCGACATTTTCGCTATAAGGCATTGTTCACAGTCTGCGACCCTGACGAAACGGCGGTTGGGCGAAAAGCAAAAAATAGTCATCGATCGGAGAATCGCCAACCGCTAGTTTCGCCGAACCGCCGCGGTTCGGCGGTTGGGCGACAGCCGCGGTTCGGCGAAACGCCGCGTCGATACGTATCGAAAGCCTTTCGCCGGACCGCTTCTTTCCAGAGAAACGCTGGGCCGCAGACTGTGAACAATGCCTAAGCGGGTGTCAGATTCGTGCTCAAGGTATTTGTGTAATCCCCGAAGACGGATTCTACCAAACCGGATCCCCTGGAGAAAAGTTTTGATCAGAATCAGGCCTGAGTTTTGGAAACTGGGCAGTAGAACATAAACAGAACTCAGGACGGATGAAGGACAAGACAATCGTCGCGTGGTCGCGCGCGACGTATCGTACGGCGGTGTGTGGCAGCTTCATGTGCATCAGTTCGTAGTGTAGCAGCAGAACTCAAAGAGATTCGAGGCACTCCATTCCGACGGTGAACTCTTCGAATTTCGCATCTTTCTTATCCGATCGAGGCATCACGCGTTGAGGCGTCAGAGCGCTGTAGAGCAGCGCAGCAACTGCGCGTTACTGCGCTGTCAATTGTCAATTTGTGCTTTCAAGGGCTTATATAACGCGAAGATGCACCTGCCCGGCCGACCGATTCTTGCCGCGAAGGTTCGATATGATGCTCGGGCCTGATCTCAGATGAGAGAGTACGGGGAAAGAGGACTGTAGTAAGTGAGATTTGAGACGCAAACGGTTGGCGCTAATAGATCCTTCGCGGACGGAATTGGCAGCAGGCCGTCTGCGGCTGCGTTCGTGCTTATAGCCTTGGAGCACCGTAGTAGTTGCAGCGCAGTAACGCGCGTTGTTGCGCTGTACGACGCGTTGAGTCAGAACGCTGCCTTAGTATTCGTACTAAATGGCCGGGCAGTACAACTCGTCTCCCATGTTGACGGCGTCGCTCTCCACAACCATCGCGCGCAACGATTCTCGTGTCACACATCCGCTCAAAAGTTCATTTGCCAAAGGGCGCGTTGCACGGGCATACAAAGGGAAAGCGTATTGGGTTGAGTTTTCTCTGGCTGATAACAGGATAACATCAGCGATTTTCTGTCATTTTTATCAATAGGATCCCAGTCATTCCTGGCTTACCGCAAACCTCGACCGCTATAACACGCACGTGGGCGGGGCATGGCCGTTTTGAGGGGTACGGTCCCAAGTCATAAGCTCAGAACATGATTGCGACGCACTTTTGAAGCGCGAAATGGGTGTGAATAATCGCAGAATGTCCCTTCAAATATGGCTGCATAAGAGGTCCTGCTCACCTATTAGTAGTCCTTTTTCGCATTTGATACACTTATTTCCGAGAAGTTGGATACACCACACATGTGCACTCGACCCACACTCAGCAACATTGCAATAAAGCCATTGTACGTAATCAGTCGTCCGTCTGTCTACTTCCGGAGGGAAATCATTTCCACAAAGAATGCATGGTTCAGATACCGTGGCATCCTTATCCGCATTCTCTTTACTCCTTGAAGGTGATTCCCTGTCCTGAAACTGGGAATCGATCATCAAAACCATATTGCGAACATGTGTTGGGAGAAAGAGGATCGGGCTCTATCGCGAGGGGGATAAATATCTCTTTTTCTCGATGAGAGGTCGCAAAGGAGCGCATTTATCGCATAGTTGCTTGCCCCTCCAGGTACAGTAGCGCCAGAAATCCAAGACGCAATCCGGAAATAGTAGAAAATGACAGGGGGAAACAGCGCTAACGTAGTTGAGGGGTGTCACTCGATCGTGCCCCCCTGTCTACTCTCTTAACTTGGGTTTAGGCATAGAGCACAGACGACTAGAGTCGAGACAGTCTCTCAGAGAAGACACAGACTCGCTAGGTCAAAGCCTTGGTTTGAGGAAGGGCTTCAGCGGCACGGTCAATTTGCAACCCCCCCCCTCCTCAACTACATTAGCGCCAGGTAAACAGAGAACGCCGACTTAGTTAAAGGCACGCTTCGGATTTACAAGTGGTGAGTTGTGCGGCTTAATTCTGAGGACGAGATGGTAAATAACACAAAAGCGAACAAAAAAAAGCAGAAAAAGTAGCCCGGAAACATGGAAACCCGTGCGGAACGGCTCTTGGGTGTCTTGTGTGCGTTCTCCCCATCATTTAGTCTCATCACTGGAAACGGAGAGAGCAAAAAGCGAAACAACCGCATCGCAAGGAAGCTTTAAGAAATGAAAGTTGGGCGTTGCAGTGACCAGTGGGCGGGGCGATGAGTTCGTCGCAAGAGGGGAAGGCCTCCTAGCGCGTTTTTGAGCTGTGAACGAAGTCCTTTGTCTATTCTTGCAAACAAGGCTATCATGTCCAAACAAGGGTTCTGGACATCAGACGGACGCAGGTGTGCCCTTGGAAACACTTCGTCAAAGTACCACAAATAAGACTCACCAGCGATTCTTCACTATGGCCAAGATGATCGAAAAATCCCACACAGTCTAAAACTCCATCTTCATTTTCTACTACCTGAAACACGGATAATTTTGGCATCAAAAATACTTTTGCATTTAATGTGAAATCAAAACTACCTTTACGAACGCTGGGCAATTCTTCAGTTTATCTTTACTAGTTTCGGAAGACTTGCTCATTACAGCTTTGTCGAACTGGCAGTCATGCGAATGAATAATTTTCTGCCCAAACGATTGCATTGCACTTTTGACTAGCACACTCTTCGTATTTTTTTCCATCTTCTCCAGCCATGGCTACAAACAGTGAATATTACTGACAGTTTCTATGCTGCGCAGTCGGCTTGATGGGGGGGGTATATGACAAGAGAATCGTGATTCACCGCGCTGGTTGGCGTCGCGTGCGACGTCGCGCCCGCAGATGACGATGGTTCAAGGTATATTAGGTTGTCCGGAAAGTTCTTAGCGTTTTGTGCACCTAATCTTTGTACATTCACTGCTGATTAAAAACTCATTCTGCCTTGCTTCTCAGTAGCACATCCTGTAGAGAATTTCTTGCGCTATCTGATGGTATAATTGCCGTTTCACCATTGCTTGATAAACCCTCTTTTTTCAAGATTTTTTCAAGCATGTGAAAAGAGCACTTCGGACGCAGGGCACAGCATTGGTTGGGGATTCCCTATGGGGGGGGTCGTATTTGGCCGTCAAAAGGGGGGGGTCGTATTTGGACTGGGAAAAATTTATTTTTCTAGTTGATTTTTCTCTCTTGCGGACGTTTCGGAGGGGGGGGGTCGTAATTTGGTCCTTGTGGGGAGGGGGGTCGTATTTCTGGCTAGGAATTATGTGGTTCACTTGGTGGATTTTTATGAATTTACTGTGTTATAGCTAGCTATACACATACCCCCCCGCTCGACAACTTTTTCGCCGAGTATAAAAACCACAACCACAGTCAGCCATGTCAGCCATCGTACGAGCATGGGGGGGTCGTACCAGCCCCTGAAAAAGGGGGGGGGTCGTAAAAGCTCGACCAAAAATCGAATGCTGTGCCCTGCTTCGGACGATTTTTTTCTTCGGCTATAAATTGGGGCAATCCGCAATCGAAACAGCTCAACAAATTAACCAGGTGTGGGGGCCCAATAGTGCTAGAGAAAGCACTGTGCGGCAATGGCTCAATAAATTTCGTTCTGGAGATTTCAGCCTTGAAGGTGAACCTCATAGCGGTCGACCTAAAGCAATACCTGACGAGGATTTGAAGGCGTTTGTGGAGGCTGACCCATCCCAAACAGTTCGAGAGATTGCAGAAAGCTAGGCCTTGGCAAATCCACTGTTGCAGATGGTCTGGAACGCATTGGGAAGGTGAAAAAAACTCGACAATTGGGTGCCCCACAATCGGAGTGACCGGCAGGAATCGGCACGTCTCGAGGTTCCTTCTTCACTGCTTTTGCGCAAAAGAATTGACCCGTTTTTGAACGGATTTGTCACCTGTGATGAAAAATGGATCATGTATGATAACAGGAGACGTTCCGGACAGTGGTTGGATTTGGAGGAACCACCGAGGTAATTTTCAAAGCCGAACCCTCGCGAAAAAAAATTCTGGTCAGGTTTGGTGGTCATCGGCTGTTGTAATCCACTATAACTTTTCATCACCAGGCCAAACCATCACAGCAGAACCCTACTGTGAACAAACCGACCAAATGTACCGAAAATATTGTCAGCTGCAGCCAACACTTATCAAAAGAAAGGGTCCGATTCTTTTGCATGACAACGCCCGCCCACACGTTTCACAAATCACTATCCATAAATTGAACGAATTGGGAGTTGAAGTTCTACCTCACCCACCATATTCTCTAGACCTTTCACCAACCGACTGTCACCTTTTCAGACATTTTCAGAACTTCCTTGCTGAAAAATACTTCATCAATTAAGACCAGGCAAAAAAGACCTTCGCAGATTTCGTGGATTCTCGACCACCCAGTTTTTTCTTTGATGGGATTTCTCGACTGCTGTCACATTGGCAAAAGTGTGCTGATTCGAATGGTGCTTATTTGGATTAAATCCGATGAGTGTTAAGAAAGTTATGATCGTTTAAAACACCCAAAACGCTAAGAACTTTCCGGACAACCTAATATATATGGCGACAACAGGCATTCAGATCGAAAATAGACATTAATTATTTACGATGACAAAGGGCGCAATCATGAACTTTTCGGTGCTGGAAATCGACAAGTTAACACGAGTCGAGAGACACCTGCGCCCATCGCAGCGGCGCGCGGCGGAAGCGGCAAATTACGAATTCTCTTGCCCTCTCCGCCTGTAGGGGCAAACCGAATCCTCCCGCATCAAGCTTGAACAGACCACTTTTGAAAGAACGCTAAGTGAATTACTGTGACTGAAGCGGACCACTTCATACCATTTCGTTCAGCTCCAAAGAATCGCACCTTGTTAAGGATGTCTTCTACCCAAAGTGCGAGCCAGCCAACAAGGTGCCAAGCTACCTCTGTAGTCAGGAGATCACTAAGCCAGCCAGGCACTGAGCCAGGAACCAATAAAGGAAACCAGGAAGGGCGAAACTACCCTTCCAAGCCGAAAAGCACTCCGTATTTTGACCCTATTTCGGACGCAGAAGCAAGAAACCTACCTGGAACTGCGCCCAGCTATTGAACGACGTCTGAACAATAAACGAGTTGCATGAAAGGTTTCCGTGAAAGCTAATACAGTGAACAGCTAGTTGATATTTCGTTCTGAACGTCATCTGACATTTCTCGCAGGTTATCGACTCTGGTATAGGAGTTGTCACCTTGAATAAGCCTTCTTCAGAGGTATTCGGATGATACACCTGGAAGAAAGAAAAATCTCTGCATTTCTCTGAATAGTTGTTCAGAAACCTCAATCCACAACAAAACAGACATACCTGCATGTGTGAATCCATGAGAGTTGGGGTGAAGCAATGAAATCTACACGGTTCACAACTATAGTAGAAATCCTTGACTTTCTCACAGTCTTTTATATTCGAGCATCCGTGAACTTCCCGCCAATGTATATTCATCTCTACTGGAGTCATTGGTCCTTCACCACACTCACTACATTCTCGGGTTGGATCACAATTTTCGGGACCTGAACACAACCTTATTGGTTGGCATGGCACTGGATATAAATCAATCAACTTCAGAAAACTGCGGTCTCGTCCATTTAGAAAAGATGAAATAGATGTGCGGTGAAGGACTACCACAAAACGCAAATGATCCGTTTTCCGCCTGCTTTCATAGAAACTACTGTTATTTAACCAGCTCATCAGTCCTGATCACAGAATTTTCATTTACTTTCGGCTCTGGCACAAACTTAAAGGCAG